TTTGTAGTATTCCCAGGAACGGGCATAGTGCCCTTGGGAGCAAGCATCAGCACAAAGGTAATAGGAGCCAAACTGCCTCAGACCCACCCTGTTCAGCAAACAGGCTAGATGCACTAAATAGGGCATACCTGTGGAGTCTCTAGGCCCACTGAAGGAGGGATAAACACAATCTGGTCCCTGGTGTCATCAAACTTGCACCAATATTACATCTTTAAAGTGGATTCCTCTCGGTCTCTCAGCTCCTTATGCAGTCACACAATTCTAGCTGTTCCGCCGGTGATCAAGGGCAAGTTTTACAAACTCCGGCTGTTCAATCCACTAAGAGTACATTCAGTGGAGAGTTTTCTCAGGTCTCTCCAACCAGTGCACTCCAGCTCCTGCCTGGGTTAGAAAAACCATTTGGGACTGGGCTTTTATCATTAATCTCAACCCTGTCTCACTCAAGAAAAAAAGCCAGAGCTAAAGTTCAAATTTATTAATAAAGTCAGTGGAAGAGATTCTTGGTAGGAAGAGAGAGGATCTTCAAAAGGACCTTGAACAAAACAGAGCTTTGTTTAGATACTGTGGGGAATGCTGTTGAGTGGCTTAAAATCAATAAATGCTCATGAGACCAGACTGGAAGCCGTATAGGAGGTTCTTAACACACACATTAAGGAGGACAGCCCTTTGTGAAGATGCGTGGAATTCTTGGGAATAATCCAACCATGCCCTCTTGGAATACCACTTGACACCCCGAGTTGAGCAGTGACTCATTTGCCAGTCTTGTCTATGAGCTATTGGAGGAAGAGCAGGGAGAGATTCCACAGAGTCCTCTCAAACCAAGGATTTGCCCAACCAGAGGATCAGAGTAATTCCTGCCGAAGTCAGTGGAAGTTATTTCTAACCTGGGAAAAAGAATCAGGCCCAAGGCTTATATGAAAGACTGTCTCCCTCACGCATTACATGGGTCTTGGCATTTTGCATACAGCTTATTTTTGACAGTGGGTAGCCAAACTTTCTTCCTCACTTTACACTGCTTATTCTTTCCTTGTCCAGTTTGGGTTTGTTCTAGCCTCCTTCTTGCCCTGTCAGACTCTGCAAGTTTCTGTCTCCTGGTCACACTATATCCCAAGTCGTCTTTTCAAAAGACAACAGTAGTTTAGGGACTGGAATCGGTTTGCCTTTATTTCTCGAGATCAGATGCTACATTCTAGGCAAGATGAACAATTCTTTGTCCCCTCTGTAGAAGTATGGGGCCAGAGGAACAGCTGTAACATTTCCAGTGTTCTCCATTTGCCCATGCAGCCAACTAGAGGAATTCGGTGAGCTACTGTTGTGATGGGATCCCCAGGGTGCAACCTGGGACTGTGGGACCACAGTGCCCCCTGAACTCTCTCCAGCCTGGGCTGTCTCTCACAATGCCTTGCTAGTGACCAGCAGCAAACCCCTCCAGGAGCTGTGATCACTCAGCACAACCACAGGTGGAGACCCTCCACCCAGCTAGATTGCATGAATGCTCCCAGAGCCACTCATGAATCACACAGAGAAAGGCACCAGAGCCAAATCCCCCCAGCTCCAAGCACTGTACCTCAGGGATATACCATCTTGCAATGCTGAAGACGAGCAGTGCAAATTTATTAATTGGTTCACCACTTCATCAATGGAAAGTGGATATACACCTGATCAGATTTACCACACACTTCAGGCAAACCCACTAGTAACAATAAACAGTTAAACAAATTTATTGACTACAAAAGATAGATTGTAAGTGATTATAGTGATAGGCAAAAAGTCAGAGTTAGTTACCAAAATAAAATAAAATATAAGCATGCAGTCTAAACTCTCAACTCTATTAGACGGGGCAACATCTAGATTAAGCAGTTTTTCTCACCCCACTGGATATTGTAGTTCATAGTGTGCAGATTTCACCCTTGAAACCTGGGCCAGTCTCCTCTCTTGGAGTCTTAAGTGTCCTCGGTACTTGCAGCATAGTGGGGGTAGGAGAAAGGCCAAGCATGAGGCCCAAGTGTTCTGTTTTATACCCTCAGTCACATGTGCTTGGAGAGCACAAGTCCAGGCATGTCTGGTGGGCACTGCTGAGTCCCCAGGCAAGGTTAAGCAATTCCCTTGGAGTGGCCTCATCCAGGTGAGTCATTGCATTGTAGCTCCCTTGCTGGACAATGGCTGGTGGTCTCTGTTCAACTGCACCTACCCAAGTATTGGTTACCTCCCTTGCTATTGTCTCTGTATAGCTAGTATCTGGGTGCCTCCCAAATCCACAGCATATTTTAGTGAAAACCATACAACACAATTCTTATAATCTCATATGCATTGGTGATACACATATTTAGATAGAACAATGTCTTTCAGCAGATCATAACCTTTCCCCTGATACCTCATAAGGCATGCTTTATATGCAAGATCACAATGATATAAAAATGAAGAATATGGGGGTTACAGGACGCTCCCCCAAGGTATAGAATGTCACAACCGTCCTTCAGGATGTCTTGCCTGAAATGTTTCAGTATAACAGTCATCCCTCTCTTTTGTCCATCCAGAAATGCCCCATTTTACCTATTCCTTAATCTTAATTTGAAGGTCTCCCACATACACGCTCTAACCACCAAGCAGCAGAGTCATTCTCATTCTGTCTTGGTCTCTGGCCCAGTGACTCTTTAATTATTTATCCACAGTGGATCAGCTCCAACAGGAGGCTTGAGAGAGCCCTACCACAAAATATCCCACCAGGATTACACATACTGCCTCCACTCATGCTGATTTGCTGTGAGTCCTTACAGCAGCACAGTTGGGTTATTGGGGTGATTGTGAGGAAATAGCTAACAGCCAGTCTGTGTCCCAAGTGGAAGAGAACAGCTGCTACTGTCACCCCAATGCAGGGGAAACCCTAAACCGATAATCCTCCCTTTACACAAGTATGGCTCCACTGAGTTCAGTCCTCCTGATTTACAGTGGGATGAGAGGAGAATCTCTGCCCAGCTCTAGCTGCGGGTGAGCTGCAACTATTCTGCATCACTCAGCAATTAACTCCTTAGGCAGAGCAATAAATAATGGAAAGAGAATGTCCTTTCTGCTCTGAGGGAGGGTTGGAGAGATGAATGTTGTCGAGAGAAAAGAGGATGAAGAAGACAGCCAGCTAATTACCTTATTGGCCCTGAATACACAAATTCTCAGTGCAGTGAAGGCGAAATGCCCGGGGAGGTGGGAGGGGAGGCCCATTCAAGAGATGCATATTCAGGGATCCTTTAACATAAAAAATAGGGAGGCAAGCAAGCAACTCTATTCTCTACCATACAGTTACATAAAAGGGGAGGAATAAATCAGTTCCTAAAACTGATTAGGCTGCTCTGTCCCAGAGTTCTGTTGAGAGCCTTGAAGAAGCGTTGATAGCTCTACCCAGAAATACATAGATGTTTCTGCTTAAAAAAAAAAATGAAATGGTGAAATGATTAACAATGCTGACATTTAACTCTTCACAGTTAATAGCCCAGAGAGCTGAATGGGGGCAGTTAATTATCTGAAAGGTCCCAGTCCTGCAAACATTTATGCACGTGCTTAATTTTACACGCATGACTAGTGCCATGGAGTTCAATGGGAATACGCACATGTGTAAAGTTAAACACACACTTATTGACTTATATATTTGCAAGATTGAGGCCTTGCGCTCTTCTTTGGATGTCTGTTTGCAGGGATGGAAGAAGTTAGTAAATACGTATTTAGCTCTCTTACCTTGCCTTCCTCATGAGGATTAATTATGTAATGCTTGTAATGGTTTTGTAGTAGAAATTTTTATTCTTGGTATTATTTACATAGCTCTAACTGTGCTGCGTGTGCTAGGGACAAATATAAAGACAAAGGCCCAGATGTTTGAAGGCACTTAGGGGGCACTCTGCCCAGCGTACCAACACCTAACCTCTAAGGGTACGTTTATACTGCAAATATATATCTATAGAAAATAAAACCTGCAGCAGCAAGTCTCAGAGTGTGGGTGTGTAGATTCAGGCTCGTGCTACAAAGCTAAAAATAGTAGTGTAGATGTTCCTGTTCGGGCTGGAGCTTGAGCTCTGACTGAAACCCAGCAAGCAGGGGGAGGGGTGTCTCAGAGACCGAGCTCCAACCTGAGTGGGAACATCTGTACTGTTATTTTTACCACCCACTATGATAATGATGCCAGAATGCATGGGAAGAATTAGGTGCCTAAGAAAGGGATCCTCAGAAACCAGCAAGCTGCATAGGGAGCTGCTAAAGCTAGCCAGGAGTGAAATACCAAGCAGAAGGGAAGGGAGAAGAGAGGGTCTTAGGCACCTAAGCAGCTGATCTAATGCAGCTGGCTGGTGGAACAGAGATAGGCACCTCTCACCACTCAGGATCTTCAGCCATGCACTCTCTCCTGGAGCTGGGCACTTAAGCCAGGTCAGCTGCTGAAGTAGCCCTGCCAGTGTCTGCAGAAAGCAGTTCATTATGGAGCCTGAATAGTAAATAGCACACATACAGTTCAGCCTCTCCCTAAGGCCCCCTTTGTCTGTGGAATTGGGAGCATGATGCGATCTAGCCCTAATGAAAAGTTGGGGGGGGGGCCTCCCAGTATCCTAGGGGTCCTTTCAGGGGGTGTGAGATCAGACAAAAATGTGGAAATTCACATCCTTGCCTTGAAAGTTGTGTCACGGCTGCTGAAGATCGTGCATCAGTACAGGAGGCTGTCTACAAAGTGAATCAACAGCATTCCCAAGGCCATAACAAGAGGGTGGGGAGGGCCTCCTCTGGCGAGCTACCAGGGGGCAGAGAGAAACAAGGTAGCAATCAGCAGAAGCATTAGGGAACCAATCATGTGGGTCCTTGGCACTCTTGAAGGTAGGGAGAGTGCTTCCAACAGTCTCCTATTGGTCTGACTCTGCAGCTGTAACAATGAAAGGAGGGAGGAGGTGGAGGGTGTCCACTAGGTGGGAGTTTCATTTGTCGGTGGAGCTAGTTACATTCCTCTCTCTCCCCGCCCTTCACACTGTCCTTTCCAACCCTGTAAAGAGCAGCAGCTTCCCTTTCATCCAGGAACAGGATTCTTCCCTTCTGACCCAGACAACAGGTAAAAAGGGCCCAGTCTGCAAAACACTGGGGGCATATCTACGCTGCTGACCTACCTTAGGCCGACTTACAACCGCTGCAGTAGTTACTGTGGTGGCTGATGTCCACACTGCCCTCCTGTCGGTGGTGTGTGTCCTCACCAGGAACGCTTCCACCAACTGAAGAGCGGCAATGTGGGGGGCTGGAAGCCAGGGCTCTCAGCTCCGCGCAGATCCCTGCTGGGAGCCCAGCTGCCCCCAGAGCTTTTTGCTTCCCTGAGTGGGCAGCTGGCTGTAGGGGAGCCAGGGCAGCAGCCCAGCTGGGAGTGGGGAGCTAGAATGGGGGGGAGCTAGGCTCCAGCTGGAACCCACCACCGGCCCAGGCATGGAGCCAGGGGCAGCGCATGACACCTGTATTGGGGGAGGCTGGTCCTGAGTGCCAGATGCTCCTTAGAAGGGGGGGCCGTCCGTGCCCGGACCATGACCCTGCCCCCCTGCTCCATCCCGAAGCCCACCCCCGCTCGGCCTCCTCCCCACAAACCCACCCGCATTCCACCCCCACCCTGTCCCGAGGCTCCTGCTCCACCTGTGGCTCGTGCCTCTCTCTATCCCCTCCTCTGAGGCCCCCCCACCTGCCGCTAGCTCCTCTCTGCCTCTCAGGGGGTGAAGAGGTGCGAGCGTTGGGTGGGCGGGGCGTGGAGGAAAGTGGCAGAGTGAGGGCGGGAAGAGGAGGAGCGTGGGCAGAGCCATGGGGGAAGAGCGGGATGCGGGAGCAGGGTCTCAGGGCAGATCGCGGGCGCCCTTTTGGCAGCGGTGCTCCTCCAAAAGGAGGTGTACCTCATCCTGTTTGGGGAGGCTTAGCCTCCCCTGGCCTATTCTACCCATTGTCCATGCATGGAGCCATGCAATTGACAAGTATGACAGCCAACAGCTGATGTGAATAACATAGTGTCTAGATGGACACTGCATTGCCCTAACTAGACTGACAGAAGCCCTTTGCCTCTCCTGGAGGTGGCACTATTATGGCGGGGTAGTGGGGCACTTACATGGGCAGCAGCAAGGCTGTAGTATAGGCAGTGACATAACAACATCGACGTAGGCTGCCTTACGTCGACCTAATTCTGTAATGTGTAGACCAAGCCTGAGATGCATGCAGCTTTCCTTGTGATGTGCTGCATATTGTAAAGACAGCTAGAGCCTACATCTTCACTGCAAAATCTTGTGATTTTTGACACTGAGACTAGGGTTGCTAACCCTCCAGGAATTTAATATTAATCTTTAATTAGAGATAGTTATGTGATGAAATCTCCAGGAATACATCCAACCAAAGTTGACAACCCTGACACCCCACCTTCGTGTAAAAGTACACAGTTTTTTTGCAGCGAAGACATAGTCTTTATGCCAGTGCAATAGGTTGTCTGGAAGTGGTGTTGATGGGTTTGAACTTTACACAGACGCTAAAGCAGCCAGGCAGCAGGGGACTTGCAAAGGTTCCACAACTATAGAAGTTGTCAGGAGGATGGTTTGAAAAACTCAGCAAAGACTCGGCAGTGCTAGGAAACAGATTTATTAGACTTATACTAAGTGTAGGGTGACCAGATGTCCCATTTTTAAAGGGACAGTCCCATTTTTGGGGACTTTTTCTTATATAGGCGCCTATTACCCCCCACTCCCTGTCCTGTTTTTTCCACAGTTGCTATCTGGTAACCCTAGCTAAGTGGCAAACCTCGCACACATATGCATGCCATGCCTCTTATTGTAACCTTTTAATGGGGAAGAAAAGCAGAGTGAGCAGATGTCAGAGCCCCATCTGCTTTCATGGAGATTAATTTAAAATGTTTTATTGCGGGCAATGACGACACTGGTAGTGTATACAGATTAGGACTCTCTGGGCCAGTCTAACTGTTACGCCTATTGAAAAGTACTTTACTCCGCCGGTAGTCCCATGGACTTCAGTGAGGCTACCTGCAATATAAGGCATCCTTCACCATAAATAGCGTGCATTTAGCCTATGATTTTAATGAGAGGCAAACACAAAGGGGCATTTGGTGAAGCTCTTAACACACCTTGGTGAGCAGTTACAGCTATGAGTATGTGTGTGAGAAAATGCTCACCAGTGTGAGTAAGGGGTCACACTGTGACCCAAAGAGTCGTAACCAAAAGCACTAAGCTGCCTTCAGGCTGGGTTTGAGTGTTTTGAAGGCAGCTGTTTGAGGCTGAAATGCAGGTTTCAATGTTTGCCTGTGATAAACACAATTCAATGAGTATTTAATATAAATCTTTATAATGTATGCTGAGGCATGGAGAGTTGTGGATAGAGATGATTTTGAAGTGTGTTTTTGAGAAGCTATGAGAGGAATTAGCACCTTCCAAATTAGTAAAATTTGCTGTAGACATTGATGAAAGCAGCTGTAAATCCAGTTTAACCAGATAGTTAAGGTGAGTTTACAGATGTTTTGCTGGAGCAGTGTAAAGTAGCCAGAGCATACCAATGATTCTGGCCCAATATGTGTCTATACTTGTGTGAGATGATGTACATAACTTATGTGTCACTTCACCACTAGTGACTAAAGCAGCCATCCAAAATTTACATTGATAAAACCTTCATACCACAGTACACCATCATATGCTCCTTGTAGTTATAATGCAATCTGTATAGCGACACCACCTCTTGTTTCTTTAATTATTCTTTCGCAACCTGTCTCCTTCTGTTTCAGACTCAGTGTGCGCTTTCCGCCAGGTTGTACTGAAAGGGAAAGCGTGTCCTTTTCACTGTTATGGTGTTTCTCCAATGAGCACATCTCTCTTTTGGGAGTCTGTTATAGGCAATAGTGGATTTTCTAGAGAGGAAGACTATTAAAAAATGGCAGGTAAGAAGAGATCATTTTCCTTTGGTAGCGATAGAATGTTACTCATTTCAGAGCTGTGCACACTGGAATCAGAAATGTCCTAGCTCCATCAGTGCTTGGACGGGGCTGTGAGGTAAAATTTGCAAAAGCACCTAAGTCACTTACTTTCTTAAATCCCAGTGCACTTAGGTGCTTTTGCAAATTTTACCCCAAACCTACAGTGCTGAGTGCCTTCAGCTTGATGGGAATTGATGCTACTCAGCACTTTGCAGACTATTCAGCATGTAGTGTTTGCAGGAACAGGCTCTTAAGCAGCAAATGTGTGACTGTCCTTCCTTACTTTCTTGAATAAGTTACTGAGTGAGATCATAGTTGTTTCAAATGGATTTATATTCTTATTACATCAACCATATGAACACAATGCTTGAGGATTGTAATGACCTCTTGGCAGGGATGCTTTGTTACTTTTATGTGATGCTAGAATCAGCAACACACTTGGTTAATAGATCAACATCTGCTCTTTACAGTATTCTTTATATTGACTGATGATAAAGCAGAAAAGTGGTTGTTCAAGCCCTTAACTGAGATACTCCTGGCTATATTTGAAACTGCCAACTTAATTATCAGGCTGATGGAGACCTGGCATATCCATCCCTTGCTTCTACCACCAAAATTTAGTTAATCAGATAACCAAGCCTTTTTCTGTGTTGGCTCTTCAAAGATGCAGCTTTTCCTCCCTGCAGGTCTACCTCACCTCCGTTTTAAGCCGTGTGTGAAAGTTTCTCTCACTGCAGTTTTTATAAATAAACCACTGTCTTCATGTATGTAGGAACATCACCCACCCCCTCTTTGTGCTCAGTGAATCAAAAATACTGCTATGGTTCTATTAAAAAATTATATTGTATTATGGATGTTAACTATTTGTTTAGTTCCTTGAGTATACTGCCAGGAGACAGTGGGGCCATGCATAAAATAAGCAGAAGATTTTAACTTGTAACTCCAGGCACTTTTGGTTTTTTCTTTCCCCTCAGTCCACTGAGTTCCAGTTAGGGAAGCTCACTTCAGCAAAGATTAACTCAGTGGGCCAGATTCACCATTGCCCAGCACTTCACATAGTCTCTTACCAGTGGTAGGTGGATATAAAATGCTACCATTATGACCGAGTAGTGTTTTCCTCACTTTGCACTTGTCCGAAAGTAAACAAGGTGCTGAACAATGGAGAACGAGGCCCTGTCTCTGCATACTATTTTTAGATGTATCCATCACCACGGTATCTGGAGATTTTCTTTTCTTTTTAACTCCAGGGAGAAAAGTACTAATAATTTATGCACATCAAGAGCCCAAATCTCTAAATGGATCCTTAAAGAATCTTGCAGTAGAAGAATTGAGCAAACAGGGCTGCAACATCACCACATCAGATCTGTACGCAATGCAATTTGAGCCACGAGCAACAAGAAATGATATAATTGGTGAGACTAGTTGAAGTACATTTTTAAAATCTCTCTCTTTGGGATTGTAAACACAGTTTTACCAGTTTGACACACCAGAGCTGCATTGTTTGATGTAAGGGTCAGGTGCTCTATAGAGAAAAAACAGGGAGACTTTTGGTGTAAAGCCATAGCTAATTAGTAAGACTGAACTTTTTCTTCCTGTGGGCATTTACTAGAGCAGTAGTTTTCAATCATTTTCCATTTGCAGACCCTTAAAAAATGTCAAAAAGAAAGGTGTGGACCCCTTTGGAAATTCAACATGTGGTCCATGGACCCCTACTATAGAATCATAGAATATCAGAGTTGGAAGGGACCTCAGGAGGTCATCTAGTCCAAGCCACTGCTCAAAGCAGGACCAGTCCCCAATTTTTGCCCCTGATCCCTAAATGGCCCCCTCAAGGATTGAACTCACAACCCTGGGTATAGCAGGCCAATGCTCAAACCACTGAGCTATATAGAAGTCTTAGACTGAAAACTGGCTGAACGGAATTCAACTATAAATGTTGCACGTGCTTGGCCTGGCATTTGATACAGAGTGAGAAAGGGTGTTAGACATATCTATTCAGGGGACACCATCATAGGGCCTAATCACATCAGCCACAATATCAGAGGCTCGTTCACTGCACATCTACCAATATGATATATGCCATCATGTGCCAGCATTCCCCTCTGCCATGTACATTGGCCAAACTGGACAGTCTCTACGTAAAAGAATAAATAGACACAAATCAGACGTCAAGAATTATAACATTCAAAAACCAGTTGGAGAACACTTCAATCTCTCTGGTCACTCACAATTACAGACCTAAAAGTGACAATACTTCAACAAAAAAACTTCAAAAACAGACTCCAACGAGAGACTGCTGAATTGGAATTAATTTGCAAACTGGATACAATTAACTTAGGCTTGAATAGAGACTGGGAGTGGATGGGTCATTACACAAAGTAAAACTATTTCCCCATGTTTATCCCCCACCCCCCACCCTCCACTGTTCCTCAGACGTTCTTGTCAACTGCTGGAAATGGCCCACCTTGATTATCACTACAAAAGGTGTCCCACCCCCACCCCCGCTCTCCTGCTGGTAATAGGTCACCTTAAGTGATCACTCTGGTTACAGTGTGTATGGTAACACCCATTGTTTCATGTTCTCTATGTATATAAATCTCCCCACTGTATTTTCCACTAATGCATCTGATGAAGTGAGCTGTAGCTCACGAAAGCTTATGCCCAAATAAATTTGTTAATCTCTAAGGTGCCACAAGTCCTTTTTGTGAATACAGACTAACACGGCTGCTACTCTGAAACCTGTGGTAACAACAACACTTCCAGGTTTTGACCTGTAGATGGGGGTATTCGCATGCTTTTGATTGATCATAAAAACAGAATGCCTTTTCTTGGCTCTGAAACTTTATTTTCATAGTTACCTTTTGCAGATCCCTTAGACATAGGGCAAGTCTACACTACAGTGCTACATCAGAGCAGCTGCACTGATGCAGCTACGTCGCTGTAGCACATCTGGTGAAAACACGCTATGCCGACGGGAGACAGCTCTCCCGTCAGCATAATTACTCCACCTGGACGAGAAGCAGAAACTATGTTGGTGAGAGAGTGGCCCCTGCCGACTTAGTGCTGGTGTGGACAGCGTGAAACTTGCGTCACTTGCGGGGGGGGGGAGGGGGAGGAGCTTTTTCACACCCCTTAGCAAGATAAGTTAGATCAACGTAATCGGTAGTGTAGACCTGCCCATAGTCTGCAGAGCCTCCAAGGGTTCAAGGACCACTGGTTGAAAACCACAGTACTAGAGGATATCACTTTAGGAATCCATCCTACACCCTTGAGTTTGACAGTTTTGCCATTGACTACAACAGTAGCAGGATTTGGCCCTTACGAGTAAGACTGGAGGTTTTTTAATAGCCCTGTGCCTTTGGGCCCAAATGTTTGTGTATTATAACTTACAAGTCTTTGTGTCTTCTTAAAGAGGCATCATTACAAAACACCTCCTCCCAAGGAGCAGTCTGGTTACAGATGCTTTCTGCAAATAATTCCCAAGTGTTCATTCGTGTATGTTTGGGGTTTGTGTCAGCTATTAAGTATGATTCACATTGATGGAATATGGTAATGCCATTGTCCATTTATTAGTTTAGTAAAAACTTGAGAGAAACCCAGTGGAGATCATATTAAATTTAAAACTGGTTTCCAAGTGTTTATCATAGTTAAGAAAGCCATTCACCAAGAGGTAGGTTTTTAATCCTGATGCTGTCCTAATTTAGGAAGTGAAAGCGCAAAGCCATTACACAATTTGGCAGAGTTGTCAGTGTCTGTTAAAGGAAAACGTAGAACCGAAAGACTGATGTTACAAGAGCACTGGCAGAAGTGGGCAAGGAAGGTTGCAGACTGTCTGATTCAAACCCATGCTCCGCGTCAGGTCTTTGAAAGTCCTCACCCACTCTGGTCGCATGGACTTCAGGAAGAGATGAAGCTCCTTAGCAGATGCTCAGGATCAGGCCCTAAACTCTGATGGCCTGATTTTCATTTACATTAAGGCCCTTTTACACCACTCTGGTAGCATAAAGGGGGACAGAGGGGCCTTAATGTAAACGAGTACTGATACTTTTGTAAGTACTAGATTCACCTCCACTTTAAAAAAAAAAAAAAAAAATCAGCAGTTCATCTATCACTCCTTACAATATGGTGCAGCTCGTGATAAATCAATGGGATGAAATATTCCAATCTAGGACAGCAGATTGTGACTTGTATTGAATTATCTTATGTGGATTTAATGCTAGAAGTGGGATAAACAATGTCCATGTTTTTTCCACAGGCTGTCTGCACAACTCAGAACACTTTGATTATGGAGTGGAATCATGGGAAGCTTACAAGAGAAGATGCTTGGCTAGTGATTTGATTGAGGAACAGAGGAAGGTTCAAGCTGCTGATTTAGTGATTTTTCAGGTCATGATTTTTCTTATTAATAATCTTATGGTCTTAATATGGCGTTAAAACAAATACAGTAATAAAGAAACTATAAAAAGCTGGAAAGTTTAGACACCTAATTCCCACTGTCATTTACTTTCAATGCACTGCTCATGCTGATAATGCAGATAAGGCTTGGGCTGTGATCTTACAAGGTCTAGCCCAGGGGTGGGCAAACGTTTTGGCTCAAGGGCCACATTAGGGTTGTGAAACTGTATGGAGGGCCGGGTAGGGAAGGCTGTGCCTCCCTAAACAGCCTGGTCTCTGCCCCCTCCCACTTCCCTCCCCTTGACTGCCCCCCTCAGAACCACTGACCCATCCAACTTCTCCCCCACTGCTTGTCCCCTGACTGCCCCCTCCTGGGACTCCACAGCCCCTAACTGCCTCTCCCCAGGACCTCCCCCCAGAACCTCCGCCCCTTCTACCCCCCCTGCTCCCTGTCCCCTGACTGCCCCTCCTGGGACCACCCGCCCCTGACTATCCCTCCCGGGACTCCACCCCCTATCCAACCCCCCTGCTCCCTGTCCCCTGACTGCCCCAATCCCTAGCCACACCCTCACCCCCTGACAGGCCCCCCGGGACTCCCATGCCCATCCAATCCACCCTGTTTCTTGTCCCCTGACCACTCCACCCCATCCAACCACCCCCTGTCCCCTGACTGCCCCCCAGGGACCCACTGCCCCTTATCCAGCCCTCTCCCCCACCCCCTAACCATGCCACTCAGAGGAGCAGAACTGGCTTATTGGAAAGGCTGGGAGGTGGGTGGGCGCAAGCCGCACTGCCCGCGTAACTACAGGGGAGGGGGGACAGCAGGGGAGGGGCCAGGGGCTAGCCTCTCTGGCTGGGAGCTCAAGGGCCAGGCAGGATGGTCCCGCGGCCAAAGTTTGCTCACCTCTGGTTTAGTCAATAGCAGAAATGAAAAAAAACAGGTGCTACAGAAAATTGACAGTCCCTCTGCCCCATGAATCCAGTGTCTGTCAGAAGGCTCATCTTTTGGTTGAGGTGTAAGAGATTCTGAAAACTCATGGACATTTGGAGATCTCATGGCATTTTTCAAAAGAATATTACAAAAAAAAACCCCACAACCATAAGCAAATATAGTTCCTCCATTCTCTGAATGATACGCTTTATTTACAGTGCTTGATCTGTGAATGGCTTGACTGATTAAGGTGATAAGATGTTCTTAGCATAGAAACAAGGCCAAAGGAAATGGTGTACCTCTGCCAATTACATCTCACTATTAACAGGAGCCTTTGCTTTGCTTTTCAGTTTCCCTTGTATTGGTTCAGCATGCCTGCCATCATGAAGGGCTGGATAGACAGAGTCTTGGTCCAAGGATTTGCTCACAATTTCCCACAGTGTTATGATGATGGCTTACTCAAGGTATGTTCCCTGGACTGTTACATTAGGCTAAACAATATTTTTTTTGTATAATTCTTGTCTGTTCCTATGCTGTAATTTTATTTTTAATCTAAGTGGATAAATGAGATTTAGGCTTTTTAGTGGCACTCAGTGATCATTCAAAATCCTTCCTAAAAACTTATTTCTTCTCTGTACCTTAGAGTTTTATACTGCCCTCTAGTATACAAGTGCCAACATCATGGAGTCTCAGGCACTTCTGCCTTTTCAGAATAAAAACTCTGCGTAGGGAAGGGGGTGTTGTTTAATTTTGGGTAAGAGTGGAAGGCTGGTAGTGGTTTGGGAATAGAAAGGGGTGTCTGTATAGCGAAAGGCTTTGCACCATTTCATATAGATGGTCAGACTCTCTACTCACCGAATATCCTCCTTCCATCTTGCCTAGGACAAGTGTGCATGGGGGAAAGATGATGCAAATAGGACTATCAAGATGCGTGCAAGCCTCAGCCATATGCTATTATCACCCTTCTCCTCTTCCTGGCTTGGCTGGGACCCTCACGTTAGGTTTTTCTGAAAGTGGATTGCAAAATCTGCAGGGGAGGGAAGATGTATTTGTTTTCTGGGGTGTGTAGTACATTCTTGGGCATGCAATTTATTTAAAATAACTAAAAATCCTCCTGTACTAGGCTTTAAGTACACACACATTAAGAAGCAATTCAAAATTTCAGCAGCATTACATAATCACTCCAGCAAGAATTTAGCCAGCCTGCCACCGACGAAAACTCCTTTCCACCGCTCCATCGTCTAGGAAGCACACCTTTGCCTTCTCCAAAAACACAAACGTGTCTTTTGCAGCATGCTTGAATGATCATCAAACGCTGCCAATATCAGAGCAAGGAGGATGGGGGGAGCAAGTTCCAGAGACTTGATCTTGTGGAGAATGCCTTGTGAGCTGCCCCTCTCTTTTACAACCATAGGATCCAACTTGAGCCCTCCTGCTAAGCACAGTTGTGGCAGTATGGCATAGAGAAAGAGGCAGTGCCTTAGGTAGGCTGCCCCCAGCCCATTCATAAAACCCTGGTGCTTTATTGGTCATAACTAACATCTTAATCTCCACCTAGAGACCAATAGGCAGCCAGCGCAGATCCTGCAGGAGCCCTCTATGCTTAGTAAGCTATCTGGAAGATACAATAAGCAGCTATAGCAGTCTCTGCCTTTTAAAATAGATGTATTTTAGCGCATTAGAAAGTTCTGGTGTAACAGGAAGAAATGCTTGACGTAGTTACTGGTGACAGACTATTCATTTTAATCAGCTGTTGCGTATTAAGCACAGAGGGGAAGCACTACCGCTTGTCAGCCCTAATGCATGTGTCTTTTCTTTTACCTTTCCCTGCTATTCTATGAAAATAAATTATTTAATGGGCAAGAGAGTAAGAAATACAAAAGAATAGGGAGTACGATAATTAGTTACAGGCAAGAAAAAACCCTATACCCATTGCAAACCTAAAAAAAAAAACAGTTTTTCATGGTAGAAAATACTTTTTAGGGTGTTTTTTTTTTTTTAATCCAGTAATGCGCACACATAGCTGAAGGAAGGAGGGGTGAGGAAATGAACAAGGATCTAGCATTTCAAGAAGACAAGTACAGTGGGACATGGAGCCAGATTGCATGGTCAGTCTGTAGTAAGTGGATCATTTCTGGGTCCCACCCGGTCCAAACCAGCTGGGTCTAGGTCATAACTAGTCACTGTTTCTAGCTCTAGGTCCCAAGGACACACTCCCAGGCTCAGACTTCTTGTCTGATGCCCTTCCTTGGAATATAGGATGCTGCCATCCCAATCCCTCCAGTCAGTTTACAAATGCTTCCCCAGAGCCTCCCCTGGGCTGTGAGCACTCTGGGCTTCTAGTTTAACCTTTCTAGGAACCATGTGGCAGGCAAGCAAGAAGCACAGGCTGAGCAAAGGAATTTCTTAACCACAATCACTTTTCTCTTAAAAACATTAGAGAGTTACTGATCTTTGAAAAGGAAACAAGTCCTGAGACACAGCCTCCCCGCTTCTGATCTCAGCCCTTCTGTGAGTCCAAAGTACCTCACTGTTCAGGCTGGGCAGAGTCCTTCCTGCCCTCTGCCCTGCAACAAAGCCTCCTATGTGGTGATGGTCATCTTCCCCCCTTCCCCCCCCCCCCATTCCAGATCAGTATCCGACGCCAAATAGACTTCTGTCTCTCTATTATATGCTCCAGTGGGGTGCTCCAAACCTTCCTCGAGTCATACTTGCCCCACCTGCATAGAGAGCTCATTGCTCTGTAGGAGTAGGCAAGTTGTTGAGTGACAAAGTAGGTGGCCGTAAATTGTAGTCTTGCTGGTCCTTTGAGGATTCAGTAAGCTTCCCTACCTGGGAAAGGTGTCTGGAATGCAGGACAATAGGCTCCCCTCTGCGTTCAACTTAGACATGTGTTCAACACCTAATAAAAAACGAGTTCATAATTTGATGCAAACAGATCCCACTCTGTCAAGGTCATCCGAATTTGTGACCAGTTTAAGTTGGTCCATAGCTCTAAATTGTTCAAACTGTGCCACCTTACTATGACATGAAGACTGAGAATCTATAACAAATAGCGGTGAATTGGGTAGAAAGATTTCTGCTCCATGATTAATGCCAGAGGTTGGGCTCAGGCTATAAAATCTCATTTGGAGTATTATAAATGGAGTGCTCAGTATTATTTGTGGTTCGTGTGTGTGGATTTTCGTGACCTCCTGTCTTAGCTATTCACTTTTGCCCTTTTCAACTTTCTACCCTATAAATCAAGCAAGATTGGCATGTCCAGACACCAATTCATAACTTTTGAGCTGTTCTTGGCATTGTGAATAGCAGAGCTAGTCATTAGCTGAAGATTTGAAGATGCTTATTTCTCAAGTCCAATATCCCACAATGATGGATATGTAGATTACTTGACTATTTAATTTGCTGATCATTTTAACAATGCCAACATTTAAGTTTTCATTATTAGATTTCAGAAATAGTCCAACGAGACAAACACAGGTGATTCAGACCCTTTAAAAGCTGTCATTTTGGCCTGTTTGCAAATTTGGGACAACGAGGCTGCTGCATCCATTGTGTTCAGTTCACATTTGGAAGGTTCCCTTGGCAGCCATAAATAAGAGTTAGATGCTGGGGTACAAGTCTGTGTCAGATCCCATGGTTATAGAATCTGAGGAAACATGGTTCTGGTAAAATACTTAGTGCAAGGAATACACCTAAAGAACATAACAAATACCCAACTAATCTATTCTCAGGCAACTGAGAAGCTTTAAATGAAGACTACTATGTATACAGGATGCAGTTTCCATCTGGGGGAGAGGGAGGAGCATAAACACACTTAGCACTCAATTTTTCCAACCATAGATCTCAAAGCACTTTACAAGGAAGGGCAAGCATCTTCCCCATTTTACAGATGGCAAAAGGTAAGGGCCCAAGTAACATGCATTTTTATGTATGTTTTCCCACAGAGCTATTTTCACACACTTTACTACTCCATATATCAACAAGCTGTGTACCAGAGATGCAGTAAGTGGTACTGTGTGAAAAGGCCAGGGAATGAGGAGGACAGAAAAGGGGGTCAGCTTCCTCAGCCATCTCTGTTCTGCCAAGTTAATCTAGTGTTTCTGAAGTGTCCTTTTTGGCTACCGGGTCACTTGTTCTTAAACTAATGTGCCTAAGTCTTATTTTCTTCATTCCAGAATAAACTAGCCCTACTTTCATTTACCACTGGAGGAGATGAAGAAATGTTTTCAAAAGGAGGGGTCAGTGGTGACATTCGCTATCTCCTGTGGCCCATCCAGGTACAATATATGAATATTTGCTCAATAACTGTGCACCTTCATAGTACTGCCAACTCCAAGCATTCAAAGTCAGGAGACAGGCCCCACAGAAATCATGATTTCTTTTAAAAAAATCCATCCGATTTTGAAAGAGCAATGTTAGGTCTTTATTTTCCTTCTGATTTGAGACGTAGGTTTCATGTTTTCCAGTTTCTCTGCCGCTATTAGGGCAAAAAAAATTAAAGAAGAGATTTGCATATAATAGCATGACTAGGGAAGAGCCAGCTTGTTGGGAAATCTTTGTGTGGCTGGCATGGTGTGCTGTGACATCTACCTGCTGACATAAACTAGTTGAATCACTTGTCCTAGATCTTCCAGAAACACTTCCATCTTCTAACAAACTCTTCTGCAGTTTCTAGCTAGGCAGACTCATTAACGTTACTAAGCCCATTTGGCTGCATCATTTAAAAGGCAACTAATGGAAAGGTGCTAATCGTAAATATATCCTGAAGTTCGGAAAAGAGGAAGGTTAGTGAATTTAGCTCACTCAGAGGGCATTAAAAGTCATTCAGAACTGTGTGAATCAGAATTGCATGACTCAGCTAGATTCAGAAGTGCCTAAAACAAATGTAGAAGTACAGGGATGAAACATGAATTTCATTCAGGAACAATCCAAGAAGAGTCAATAGTATCCTAAATGTTCAGCCATCAAACGTGGAAGTGTATGACAGTTGAAAGGGTAAGTTAGTTATATAGCTTCAATAGCATTTCAAAACTGTTCCAGGAACTGGGGAACAACGTACACTAATCAAACTCAGAAGCATCATAGGCTAGCCTTCAACACTTGTCCACAAGTGTGGTTGCAAAGGTACATTCCCGCATCCTTTTGTCCTTCCACATGGATAGTTTAAAGCAATGCTGTTTTATCAAAGAAAACATGCCCCACATGGGGTAGGAGAAATATTTTAAAATCTGAATTCTTTAACTGTAGCAAAAATGGAGTTGAACCATTTTCTGACATGTGTCTCTTGTCCTTTGAATCTAGCATGGTATAATGCACTTCTGTGGTTTCAAAGTCCTTGCTCCTCAGATCTGCTTTGCTCCCAAGTACGTGACAGAAGAGAAAAGAAAGGAGATGCTGACCTCCTGGGCACAGCGACTGAAGACTATCTGGGAGGAAAAGCCTATAAACTGCACTCCTGAGTTGTATTTTAAGTAATGTTCAGGCACAACACTAGAGAGAGATGGGGGCGGGGAAGTTGCAGGAATTGTCTCAGTTGTATCTTTTCTCTTTCCTTCATGCTGTACCTTACCATGTATGGGGGGGGGGGGGGGGGGAGGGAAGTCACAATGCATAATGTCAGTCTCATAAACTTGCTGGATTGTATTACACCTAAAGACAGCCAATTGGTAATAGCTCAGTTAGCAATATGGCCTCGATCTTCCTGTCTTCTTAGGAGTACAGTGTAATGATGAGTGGTGCAGCTCCTTGCTGTGTGGGACATGGCTCCCTAACTAGTAAATATTAGTGCCTAGTATACAATCAGGTTGTTTTTTTTTGTTTTTTTTTAGAATAGTGCCTGTTCATACAAGGATAGGATTGAATCACAGATAATGGCTATTGCCCTAAGACACAGGTGACCTGCAAAACACCTGAAAGATATTGCCAGATTTACTTCAACACTTTTGTGCACCAGCTGCCATTTTTGTTAAATTGACCTGGAAATATCCTGTGATAAATAAGATTTGTCACAGCCAGTTATCAGTCAACTCTGATCTCTTAAGCAAGTTTTGTCTACATTTGAATTATTGTACAGTTTGAGTATATAGGATATGCAGTAATTTAGGTTACATGAGAACTATAGCCAGCCTTAACCTTCAATACCAAAACAGATCTATGTGTCGGTTCCTAAATTCCTAAGATTATTTACAACTGAACTATAGTAAAGCAGCTTTAAGACAGTTTCAGATGCCAATAAAGGAAGCAAATTCAAAGTGAAGTATGAATATACAACACTGGTGCCTTCACCATTGCATTGTTCTGTGTGTACACAAGGAAGGGTACGTGAAGCCCCCTGCCATTTTTGCCTCCTCATACATTTTAATGGATACTTTTTTCTGAGTTCAAGGACTGATCCCCACTTACGCTGCCACTAGCTACCCCATTAGGAAGAGAGAGGAATCAAGGGCAATTGCTGTGGCCCCTCACACTAATCAGCAGAGCTATTCAGCCCTGGAGTTGAATGCCTGATGTACCTTCCCCTAAATACTATAGCAGCAAATGTGCTTCTCCGGGGGACTCTGGCACTGTGGCTGGCTTGGTGAGGCACATTGCCCACTACATCTGCCGTGGCCACTGTCCCAGTGTGGGTCAATGCCTAATAGGATACACCAGTAGGTGTGGGTTGGCTCTTAATGTTTGGGAATTTTGCCATGGACTTCAGTGGGATAATTTGGCTCTGGAAAGTAACTGATGATTTTTTTGTGGTAGATATATGGTATGTTTCATGCTTAATTGTGTATTTCCTGGCTCTGATCAGTCGCTGTCACAACCTTAACATACTGTTAAACGTACTATTATGCTTCTTTGTGAATGTTTACCCGTTGTATGCAAGATGTAGATACCAGATTACAATGTTTCCAGTCACCTAAATTCATGTTCAGACTGAAGAAGGTGGACATAGTAAGATACAAATGCAGTTGCTGTCCATGCATATTTACTTTTTCAGAATAAAAATCCTCAGTTTGTTTGGAGACTGATCAAAGGTGTTATTCAGAAGACAAATGCGTATTCTGCTCACAAAAAATTAAGAGGATGTATACAGAGAAGTCTTGCTCCTATAATCACTAAAGTCAACAGGAATTGATAGACTGCAGTCAGGGTAAAATTAGGCACATCTCTTAAATTCTATTACAGCACAACGCAGATGCTTGGAAATTCTAGCTAAGAGTATTTGTGAGGAAGTCACATGGGATTAATTCCACAAAACTGCTAATCAGTCTCCTATGATGCTTAGTGTCAGGATACACATACACTTTAAAAAAAAAAAGTGTCATGAAGCTAGGCATAAGGGGGTCTTGAAGGTTTAGAAGGAACTGTGCCGGGAAGAGAGAGCAATATAGAGCCGTATCAGCAACTGGGGAGAGATTATCAGGAGAGCTCAGCTCCACACTAGGTACCAAAATTAAGTGGCCAGATATTTTTTTTAAAACTCAACATGTTAGGTACTGAGCTCTTCTGAAAGGCTCTCCCCAGTGATGGTGGTTGAGCTCTTCTGAAAATTTTGGCTTTAAGGGATACTATTTTTATTTATTTGACTAAAGTTTCTGGTTCAGTTGCATTAAATAAAATTCCTGAGTCTTTGCCACAGTTGTATGACACTTATGATTTCACATGCAGGGAATACATTTGCCACTTCTTTTTTTAATAACTTATTACCTGCATCCAAAGCTGTTATGTCCTCTCCAAGAGGGAAACCCCATTGACTCCAAACAGACTAGTGTGGAACATTAAAGAGCGTACAACTTTGTTGCTCTGCTTTTTCCCCATGAAGGTGAGTCATGCAAGTGGATTCTTCCACATCAGCTGAGTTTGCAGCTGAATGCATATGGTAGGAGGGGGAATAAAACCCCTAAACAGAAGGAAGTGAGGATCTCTATGCTACTTGGACTCTGGGAGGGCAAGGTTTTCTAGGTATAAACAAGAGGTCCCCAGCTGTTTAGCCTGGGTTAGCCCAAAGAGCCATATAGAGCTTGCTTGCTTAGTTATAGAAGCTTCTATTACCTTTCGTAACAAATTGTCATTCATTTGTGTATCCATGTTTACCTGCTTATACCTTATAAATAATTGTTTCCTTTTTCCTATTAATAAATCTGTATATAGTTTATTGTAGGATTGGCTACAAGCATTGTCTCTGGTGTGACATCGAAGGTGCGATTGACCTGGGGTAAGTGATTGGTCCTTTGGGACTAGGAGTAACCTGAATATTGCTGTGATACTTGGTATAAGGGACCACCTATCACAAAGGCAAGCTTACCTGGGTGGTGAGTCAGATCTGAGTATCCAAGGAGACTGACTGATAGTTAGCTGGTGAAATCTAAATTTAGAGCTCACAGCCAATTAGGGGTTTTTGTCTTGGTTCTTAACAGTCACTCTCTTGAGTCACTGGAGTCAGCTTGACAGTCCTCTTTACTGATATGTTGTTAGTAATTTCTCTCTTGGTTGTCTAACATATCTTGTATCCCTTAATCCAATTACCTCTCTAAATATTTCTGATAAAAGATTGACAATGAATTGACTGTGAAATGTGATCTTCAAGACATGGAGTAAAATAGAAATGGACGTTGTCTGATCATTAATCCAAGGACCACCGACATGTGGGAGGGGGAAGCATATAATATCCTCTACAGTATATTCCTTTCTTGATTTTTTACATTACTGATTTCTCAGGACAGCCCATAAGGACATTGAAGTGATAGGGCAATTTCTGCTAAAAAAAAAATAGTAACTATTCATTTTATCTTTATTGGTTCAGCTCAGTAAGTTTAAATTTCTGTATTAGATGAAAAAATCATCCGTGATTCTGGTCCTTCTAATTTCTATTTCAAAGATTAAACACATTAGCCTTCCTACACCCAGCTTCACGCTAATGTTTATATTTGGTAGCCAGTGTGTGTGTTGTGCATAATACATATTATATGAACTTTAATATTGTACACCTTATCAGGTATAAATCCATGGTAGGCCCACACCTTGAATACTGTGTGCAGATGTGGTTGCCCCATCTCAAAAAAAAAAAATTGGAATTGGAAAAGGTTCAGAAAAGGGCAACAAAAACAATAAGGGGGTGTGGAACCACTTCCATATGAGGAGAGATTAATAAGACTGGGATTTTTCAGCTTGGAAAAGAGACAACTAAGGGGGGATATGATAGAGGTCTATAAAATCATGACTGGTATAGAGAAAATAAACAAGGAAGTACTATTTACTCCTCCTCATAACACAAGAACTAGGGGTCACCAAATGAAATTAATGAGCAGCAGGTTTAAAACAAACAAAAGGAAGTATTTCTTTACACAACGCACAGTCAACCTGTGGAACTTTGTCAGAGGATGTTGTGAAGGCCAAGACTGTAACAGGGTTCAAAAAAGAACCAGATAAATTCATGGAGGATAGGTCCATCAATGAATATTGGCAAGGATGGTGTCCCTAGCCTCTGTGTGCCAGAAACTGGGAATGGGTGACAGGGGATGGATCACTTGTTGATTACCTGTTCTGTTCCTTCCCTCTGGGGCACTTGGCATTGGCCACTGTTGGAAGACAAGATACTGGGCTAGATGGACCTTTGGTCTGACCCAGTATGGCCATTCTTATGTATGATTGCTGGGTAGTTATGCTAAGTTGCACACCTGTACTCTGTATTATGCTTTTCCCAGAATGCTGTTCACACTTGTTCACTCACACTAAGGTGTAGCCCATAACACTTTGCACAGCTGAATTCTGGTCTTGGCTCAAACAAATACATAACCTGACAGAAACAAGATGTATGACTAATAAGTCCTGGTACAATTAAGAGGTGCCTGGAAGGAGGTATCCAAGACAAAGATAAGAAAAGTACAGGACAGTGTAGAAAAATCAGTATAAAACTGCTAGAGACAAGTGGGGTTATGTATGGAGTGCCTTTAGCTTGTAAACAGCCACAATATAAATACACATAGTCTTGAGTGCATACTTTGAAAGCAGACCTATGTAAGGTGAATGCTATGAGATTACTTCTCTGAAAGGGTGGTATGTATGTCTCCTTTTTATGTTGCGCTGCTTTCCCTTTGACTAATAAGCTGACTATGCGCAGCTATTTGCGCTCAAATATTTTTGAACCGCAAGTGTAGTCAAGTAATTGGCTATAGCTAGTCAAATTGCAAAAGGGTGTAGAACTAGATCAATTAGGTACTTTTTGGACATAGATAATCTAGCTATAATAATAAGGGTGCAGACACTTTTTTTATATAAACAGATTAGAGTACATGCACTGATATTTTATTACCCTGCATTATTTTGAAAGCTGTTCGATTGGAGAGAACTCCAGACTAAACCTTTTCCTGGTTATATACAGGATAGATCGATAGAAAAGAAATTATTAGTTATTCACCGCCCCATGATGTCAGCCTTTCCCTTCACATTGCTATGTAAAGTAGCAAATATGGATGAATTCCTGGCCTATTGAGGTCTAGAATTTTTGCCACTGAAATCAGTGGAGTGAGGATTTCATCCAACCTTTTTAAAAGCAATCTTAACCAAGCGACTGTACTCTGAATCAGAATTTGGTAACTATATCCATGATGTCTCACAATTTGCTAACATGGCTATCAATAATTAGCTTGTATTAATAATGGCCTATTCCATCTGAGGATGCCTAGACCCACCAATCAGTTGAACTGCAAAAGTCAGCTCTAGAAATTATTTTGGGGATATTTCATGGTCTGTGTTATACAGGAGATCAGGCTAGATGTCACAATGGTCCCTTCTGGCCTTGGAATCTATGAAAACAAGACTTGTATTAACGCTACAGATTAGAGAGAATCAAATTTCAGTTTGACAGTGCAATTCTCTTGAAATATTTTTAAAATACAATGCTAGTTATCTCTTTAAGAAAAGGAGTTCAAAACTGTCAGCTTTTTTTTTTTTTGAGGGGGGAGGGGAGGGTGAGAGCAGGTGTCTACTTGTAAGTTAAGTCAGCCACAACAAACAGTGGCAGAGAGAGCCATTCAGTTCCCCTGTGCCACATCCTGGCCAGGCAAGCAAAGTATAAAAGTTTTGCCTACAGATATTTCAAGGACATTGGGGGAACCAGAACCCTTGTATTCATCCTAGAGAAAGCCCAGGGCAGCTGTGCAGCCTTGTCATTCCCAGGTCTGGGAATTTCCTCTTTAAGATGATGACGATGTTTCTTAAGTCATGAGAATGGGTATCTAGCCTGTACTATAGTTTAGTACAACACCACCTGAAGATGGAAATTCAGATGCTTCAGTGCATATTCTTTGGTACTTAATATTTTTGTTGTTCAGAGAAACAATTAATACCTCACGATAGAATTTCTGTGTCAAAGTATTCTTTAGAGATTCTGATGCATACATAGCTATTTTACAAGTACTACGTGAACTGTAAATTTCCTTGAACAGGAGCTATTTAGTTCCTGGAATTGAGTAGCTCTGCTTTCATCATGAAAACTTTGTCAACTTTTATTTCTTGCCAACTATTTCCCCTCCAAGGAACTGATAAACTCCACCAGATTCACCAACAGAACTTTGAAGCTTCTTAAAGTACAGCTATACTAGGTTGTCCACAGACCTTCTCATCTCCTTGACCCCCACGCTACTTACCTGGTCCCAATTGCCATAGCGTTGGAATGCCTCACAAACTTGAGTGACTTTATCCTCGTAGGCATCCCTGTGTTGCAGTGTTCCCTCTTATTTTTTCCACGCATGTGCGGAATGAATTTTGTTATGTCACACATCACCTCCATATTGGTGCACATAACAAAATTAATGTGGTGGAGGTGGGGCCGATGGGTTCGGAGAGGGTTCCAGCTGGGGGTGCAGGCTCTGGGGTGGGGCCAGGGATGAGGGGTTTGGGGTGCAGGCTGCTACAGGACTCCCTGCAGCACTCTCTCTCCCCGCAGCAGCCCCGGGGCTGAGGGTGGTGGAAGAGGCGCCTCTCCCCCAGCCGCAGCAGGTCCATGCTGGGGGAAGAGGTG